CACCTTCATTGGCATTTTTTTTTAGGTTGGGAAAGTTTTCTTCTATGATTTTGGTGAATATGTTTTCTGTCCCTTTGAGGTTGTTTTCTTCACCTTCTTCTATCCTTATTATTTTTAGGTTTGGTATTTTACTGTGACCCATATTTCCTGGACATTTTGTGTTAGGGATTTCTTGGACTTAAGGTTTTCTTTGGTCAATGGATATGTTTACCCTAGTGTATCCTCAACATCTGAGATTTTCTCTTCTATCTCTTGTATTCTGCTGGTTATGCTTGCATCTGTAGTACCTGACCATTTGCCCAGCTTTGCTATTTCCAGCATTCCTTCAGACTTTGTTTTGTTTCTTATAGTCTCTATTTCAGCTTTCAACCCTTGCACTGTTTGAATCATTTCTTGCAATTTTTGCTTTGTCTTTTCCTCTCTTTCTTGCATTTGTTGGATATTTTTGGTTTGTTTTTTCTTCCATTTCTTCCATTTTTGCATTTTTTGGTTTGCTTTTCCTTCCATTTCTTTAAAGGATTTTCTCATGTCCTCTTTGAGGGCCTCTATCATTTTCATGAAGTTGTTTTTAAGGTCTTTCTCATCTGCTTCATCTGCATTGGGCTGTTCTGGTCTTGCGGGTGTAGAGTCTCTAGTCTCTGGAGGTGTCATATTGTTTTTTTCTGTCACAGGGTGTTTTTTTTTTTAATTGCCTCCTTCCCATCATTTCTTCCAGTGGGAGAAGAAAGGATTCTCTTCCTCTCCTGGTGGGTATTGTGATCATGGTTCCTTTCTGGTGTGTGGGAGCATGTCCAACACTCTAGTGGCTTTTCTCTTCTGTGGCTGGAGGTAGTCCTAATACCAGTGCCTTGACAATCTTTGAATATTCTGAAGTCTGTCAGGATGGGATCCATAGTGTACAGTCCTCAGGTCTCCCGTAGTTCTGCTCAGGGCACCGGAAGTTAAGTTCGCCTGTCCCTTAGGTGGACAATGGGACTTGGATGCTGGCAGTCTCTGGGCTGGCTGGCTCCTGTTGGGGTGGGAACTGCAGTGTGCAGTACCCTGACCTCAGCTAGTTATGCGCAGATCACTGGAAGGCAGGCTGTAAACAGGCCCAGGCCGATTTAGCCCCCGTGGATGGAGAAAGGAACTATGGTGCTGACAGTCTCTGAGTGGGTTGAATCCCATCGGGATGGTAAAATCACTGCACAATCCCCAGATCTCCAATAGTTCTGTTTAGGGCACCAGAAGTTAGGCTCGCCTCTCCTGTGGGTAGAGAATTGGAACTGGATGCTGGCAGGCTCTGGGCGGGCTGGCTCCTGCCTTGGTGGGAACTGCAGTGCACAGCACCCTGGCCTCATTTAGTTGTGGAGACTGAGTTCTTGTGGTGGTAACTATATCATTTAAAGATTTCCAATGGTTATGATGAGGATTTATTTATATTCTGCGTAGCTCCAAGTAGCAATGAATAACATAATGAACTATCAGAAAGTTCTTGTTTATTCCAGTAATTCAACATCTGGATGAATTCCTAAAATATCCTTAGGTAAAATGTTCTCATTATGGCAATCATACCTAATACCATGTTTTCAATTGAGCACTGTCTTGTTTTGTTTTGAAGAAATTTAATACAGAGCTGAATCACCAATGTGATGACTTTTTCCTTCCTGAAAAGGAAATTAAAACTTCACTCCTTTGGTTCCAATTCATGTGCAGATCTTATTTCCTAATTTATTTTCCAAAGTTTTTCTAGTGTCAAAATGTATCTGTCATGATGTTGATAATATTTCTAGAGGGCAAGGAAACAGTAAAAACAATGATTCTATAATCTTAGTGACTTTACATGACCAACCATATTTATTTTTAATTCATGGATATTTTTTGTTCCTGCAGTGTGCAACAATACATTTGAAGACATATAGAGCAGTAATCGGTTTTCACTGTATCAAAAGAGAATCACATGTTTAAACGTTATTAGTCAAAGAAAGCTACAGTTGCTTTAGGGAAAAGTAGAAGATGCCAACTGATTCCTTGTCCAGGAAAGGCACAATGCATGTTTACAATTATCTCTGAGTAACACTTAGTCTCCAGAGAGACTTCCTTTCATACAGTATTCTTTTTTACCTCTTTCTCAGGATGTTCCAACAGGTTTGTGTGAATTTTCAGAAAAGTATTGCAGAGGGTTTGAGGTTAGATTTAATTAAAGTACAAGTAATCTTTCTAAGTAGAAATGACAGACAAATTAGATATTGTCAATTTCTCTTTTTCTCCATAAACTAAAAATATTGGACATACAATTATGTCATATTTTACCTGACTAATCAAGAGAAAATATGAAGAATGAGACAGTAAGATAATCTTAATTAATTCACTGACAACTAAGAAAATAATTCCTTGTAAATTACTAGAATACTTAATTGATCTTTGTTTAGTGATATCTACAATCTGCTTCTTATTTTTTGGTAGGTGACACTGAGAAAAACGATGATTAAAGAAATGTTTTGTACAAAATAAATGATAAAAGGTAAATTGAGATAGTGAGATTATTGGACTTGGTAAGCAGTCAATCAAAACCATTTAGGGCAGAAGCATACTCCATAAATAAGGGTATCAACTGTCTTAGGCTCTTCACATGAATGTATGCCATATGTAAATCTAAGAGTAGTCAAAACACACCAAATGAGTTAGGTGAGAATACTTCATATCAAATGATAGCCTTGACATTATGTGAGTTATAAGAACTTGTATTTTATTCAGAAAGATATATTTCACAGCATTTAACTTCATCTCTTTTGTTCAGATTATATGTCAGTATAATTTTCAGGTCCCTGTGGCTAGAGAGTTACTCTACTTAAATTAAATATACTATTTTAGATGATAACCAAAACAGAAATATCTTACATATTTATGGGCTACCATGTGACATTTTCATGCATATTCATCTAAATAATATATGTAAATCAGGATAGACATTTTAACCTCCTCAAATATTGGTCATCTCATTATGAAGAAAATTGAAAAACTATTCCTTTATCTTCTCATATCATATTTTATAGTATCATTAAGTAGAGACACTGCATTAAGTGACTGGTACCTCTACCAGTAGCACGGATTGATCAGCCTTACTGTGACTTCTCTTCTGTTTCCTACCTCTTCTGCAGAATTTCTTTCTCAATTTTTAAGCAACCATTATTTTTATGTTTCTCTCATGAATCAGATGACATGGTTATTTTTCCTATGCCTGTTATATTTTACCTAATGGTAATACCTCCAGTTCCAGTTGGCAAAAATTACAGGATTCCATTTATTAGCTGAATACAAGGCTACATGTTTTTAATTGGTAAGCAACTGTGATTTAAATGTATGCTTTAATGAGTGAGAATATTTCCATATTATTGTTTAACAAATAACTTCTCAGAACTGTATTCCTTAATCTTGCTGACATATTCTCAATAATGTGATGTATATTGATGTACAATTACCTCATTTTACAATATTTGAATGCATATTTCTACATATTATTCTACATTATGAATATAATATGAAAATACTCAGGCAAATTTTTGTAGAAGAGGATTTTATAATGCAAAAATTTTGACATCAACTCGAGCTTAGACAGGTAAAAAAGACATGTGTGTGTGTGTGTGTGCGTAAGTATTCTAATATATTCAGTTGTTAAAAGCTGTTTGCTTAATGAAGGACAGCACATTTAATGGTTTTAAAGAGACATACCAAATTATACAGAGAGTAGTTTTCTTCACAGTGTGGTTCCTTGAACAGCAGCATTAAGATTTCTTTTTATTATTCAGCAGTAAAGAAGAAGAGAATTACGTCATTTGCAGGAAAATGAATCATGTTAAGGAAATAAATGCAGAAGGAAGGCTTAGAGAAAGACAGAGGCGTGGAAGTAGAAGGGGTATTTGAGAATAGAAAGACCAACAGGACAGACTGGAATCAAAAGAGGGTAAACGAGGATGAAAATGATTAAATTATTCACAAATAGACAGTTAGCATAATGAAACTCCACTGCACATATAATTAACACACTATACTAAATTTTTATTTTAATATGTATAATGTCATTTCCATGTAACATCCAATGAACTGTCAACTCTGTAGTAGAATTCCAAAATATCTTTAATAACTGCTGATTTTAAGATCACTTGTTGAGGCAAGAGTGTTTAAAGCTTTATAAATGATGTAATAGAAAAGCTATTAAGAGGTACTCATGAAAGAAAGAAAGAAAGAAGGAAAGAAAGAAGAAAAGAAAGAAAGAAAGAAAGAAGGAAAGAAAGAAGGAAGGAAGGAAGGAAAGAAAGAAAGAAAGAAAGAAAGAAAGAAAGAAAGAAAGAAAGAAAGAAAGAAAGAAAGGAGTAAGCCAAGTAGTGTTCGGGACAATGTCTTCTTTAAATTCCTTAGTGAATCTCCCCTTACAACTAGTTTTCCAAAATTAGGTATTTTTAAACTCCCAAAACACATTTGCAAAATATACATACAATTAGGAAGGGCAAGTTCTGACCTCTTATTTCTAGAAATACCTAAATGTCTTTCATTAATTTGTGTGAAATGTTGCCCTACTTCTCTTCATCAAGCAGCCCTTTCTCCCTTGAGTGTTGCCTTACATACTGCCTTTGCAGCCTTACCCTCCCTGGCAATTAATTAAAAAATAGGACAACCCCATAGTACCGTTGGTACTTCAAAATAAATTATTTTAAATTTTATTATTCTTGTTTCTATTTTAGTAACTACATTCATTTTCTTTAAAAGAACATATGTTTATGAATATTTATGTCCTGAGGAAAATTCGTCAGTAGTAGCTTATTGTCTCTGTGAGTCGGTTTGGATTCCAGGTAGGTGAATTATAGATGTGGCCTCTTCTACTCATAGCTACACGTTACTACAAGCTGCAGCTATTGTAATGTAGTGACCTCAGCTAAATGTCCAAGTGAAATTAGGACATTAATTAAAAATAAAAATACTCAGATTATGCAGTTGTGAATAAAAATAAATTTGCTTTTCAGGGAGTTTGGCCGTTGGAAGGTAAATAACCTTGCAGTTGAGAGAAGAAATTTCCTTGGCTCTCCTCTGCCTCTTGCCCCTGAATTCTTCCGCAACATAAGACTTTTGGGACGGCGACCGACTCTTCAGCAAATTACAGAAAACCTTATCAAGAAATATGGGACTCATTTCTTGCTATCTGCTACTCTGGGAGGTAGGAGCCTTTGAAAATATTTGTGCTTGTGCTTGCCTGTGGATAAAACTGTATATTCACTCCATGGGTTCACTTAATCCATATCGCCACTGTAGACTCTCTTCATTATCAAAAATGTTGATGAACTGTTCACATAATGCCTCCTCTAATATTTACACTCATGAGAAAGATGAGAGTATTACGTAGTGTCTTCCTAAAAGCTCCCTAGAGTGCCAATATACATGAAATGTATGCACAGTTGTGTCAATCTGTTATACAAAGTGATACAGTAAATCATGTTTCTAAAATAAATAGCTTCAGTGCAGGTGAGAGACGTCACTTCTGGGAACAGAGAAAAGAAATGATTTCCAGAATTAAGTGGTAAAACTCTGTTTTTAAAATTCTGCCCCATTAGTAGCCTGTACCTGACTTATGATTATGGGAAGGATAAAATATAATATTTAAAGAAAAAGATTTAAGACTCTGGCTTATTCCTTAGGTTAGTGAGGATAAGAGACCTATGATTAACCCTGATTAAATATGGGCTTAATAATGTGATTCGTAATCAGAAGCTTGGATCATCCTGAAATATGTTTAAGGAAATAATAACTTAGAAAGAAAATATGACATGACATTGTCATAAAATATTCCTCAATCTTCCAATTCTCTATATGTAATTATACGTGTCTTCTGTAAGCTCTGCACATTCCAAGTAATATACAAATTAGTAACTGACATTACAGATACTATTGTGAAACTGGTTGTAAAATTTGGGCGAGGAAGCTGGCGGAAGAGTATGTGCTTTCTTGTCAGCTTCTCAGTGGCTGTGCTGATCTATGGAAAACTGCATTCTCCACGGCTCTCAGCATTAAAGGATCAGTCCTTTCAGTTCTTAGCTTCCCAAACCCATCTGTCAGAAATTCAGGCAGTTAACTAATTATTTCAGAATATATCTCATAAGAAACTCTGTCTTCACCTTCTAGGTGGGATACTTACAGCAAGTCATCACAGATAGGAAAATCTCCAAAATTTATCGAGGGATTCTTTTGTGGTTTATCCGTCATGCAGGATATCTAAAAACCTGAGACTATATATAATCCCTGTTTTATGAGGGATGTAAATGTGGCACTTACCATAAAATCTTAGATAGCTGTGCTTTGGACAAATTACAAATCATCTCAAGCATCGAATGTGTCTTCCTAATATATATGTTAATTTCAGTGACCTTTACATTACTACTTAATTGTATGTGTTTCAGAGGCCTTCCTTGCCAGCCAGAAACACAGCAAAACTATATTTCTGAACTTGATTATCATCATCATATTTTGCCTTGTTCATAGAATTTATATTTATCAAAATAATGTAATTGTAAAATTGTGACGTCTTTCCTTCGCCTTCTTAAAAACAAAGACCTCGCCTATATGTGTCATCTTTTTGCGGTTATAATACTTGTTGGTATAAGATAGGCTTTGATCAAACTGCCTGTTTAATAAACATCTTCTACCAAGGAACAAGAGTGCCAAGTTTTCTTACTAATGTAAATGTTTATAATAATTATAGAGGATACTGGAGTTCTAATCCTCAAAAGGAGAAATGAAATTAAAAAGCTAAAATTAGTGAACTTCACAAAGGTTCATAATTGAAAAGGATCAGGATCATAGCAAAAGGGATATATGTAAAACATAAGCAGATCTCGCATATTTAGAACGTGGCATTCTACCATTTCATATCATAATATTAAAAGTGCAGAGTATAGGTTGTAGACACAAAGAACAGGTTACTATATGTGGATACAAATTCCCCATTTCCTTTTTCACAGATGAGTATTAACCAAGATAGAGGCAACAAATATATGCTAATATGTTCCATCTATGTCCCTATTTAAAATGAGTGAAGACATTGGAAATCTCTTTATTAATCTTTGCAATTGTGCAATTTATTTTATAGTTAAGGAGGCAACAGTATTTTTATGGAAGTCATATGAAGACTTTGTTTAATGAATGAAGATCCCTTAATGCAGCATATACTTCATTTTCAATATGTGTGGCCTTTAAGACTCTGCCATACATACTAGTACATATGTGAGAAAATAATAGACTATCTTACCAATTATGATTTTGTACAATCTTTTTCTATTTTGCTTTACAATTTCAAGTACTACAAATACAATAAAATCTGAAGAGTAAAAGTAACAGAGTTTATAAAGCTTCCACTTGTAAGAAGTTGAATCAGATATGTGTAAATTTTCATTGCCTTTATCAACAAAACAGTCTAGCTAGAAGAATTTCCAAGTATAAAATGTTTACAAGTAGGGAAAACAGAAGTATATGTGTCTTCTATGAATTTAATTCTTAATGCATTGTTTAAATTTTGCTGATGTTTTACTTAATTAATTTATTATTTTCATAATATGAATGGTGCATTTTGTTTATCTTTCACTCTTTTGTGGTTGTTTTTGTTGTTGCTGCTGCTGCTTCTGGTACCAGTGGTATAGAAGTAGTGTTTAAAATCTTCATAAACCACTTTGGGGTTAACTTTTCAGTCACAGAAGGATATGTCAGTATTTACATATTCCACATTATTTTCTACAAAATATTCAAATAATTCCAATAGGAACTATTAATACCAATGAACATATTAAATGAAATTGCATGATCCAAAGTCAACGTAGGACTGGATAATATAAAATAAGATTGTGCCTCAAAAATAAAGCAAGAAAATTTGCTAAGCATTTGTGGCACACGCCTTTAATCCCAGCACTTGGGAGGCAGAGGCAGGAGGATCTCGGTAAGTTAGAGACCAGCCTGGTTTGCAGAGAGAGTTCCAGGACAGCCTCCAAAACAAGACTGAGAAACCCTGTCTTGAAAAACGAACATATACATATATATATATATATATATATATATATATATATATATATATATATGACAAGAAATTCAATGTACAACATTTATAAACTAAGAAAGCTAGGGATAAATTTATCCAATGATATTACAAAAAATCTATCATGAAAGTAACAATACAGTGATGACAATTAAATCAAAACAAAGCAATCAAAAATCAATCTGTATGAATAGATTAGAGGAACAAGTATTGCTAGAATATTCTTACCACTTAAGCTAATTTGAGACTCTATAAAATCTTTGCCCCACTATTAAAGACATTATTGACGTGAATGGAAAATAATTTTTAAAAAGTGTATGAAAGTAAAAAAATCATTCAAAATATATAAAGCCATTTTGACATTTGAAAAGCAATAAGACACTGAACAATTAGTGATACAAAATCCTGATCTAAAATAAAGTTCAAAGCCATGGTAATTCGTGATGATAACATTTTTTTCAGTCAGTATTGTTTATGGTTTGTTTATGTGAAAGGTCAAGCATTCCCTTAAGTTCATTGAATTGGAATCCCTACCCAACCTTCTGATCATGGAATAATCTTGAATTTAAAGATCAAGGCATTCTCTATTCTAATGATGTTTTCTCTAAATGTTACCTGTAGATTCCTTCAGGACTTTTCATTTGGAATTGCATTAAGTGAAATTATTAAATAGGTTAAGCATATACATTGTCTTCAATTACAAAGTGAACAAAGACTAATTACAGGCAATTTTACAAATGCAGACATTGTAATTGGACTTACCCTGTATTTTTAATCTCTGTGTTCATTTGCTTCACGTGCTTAATCTGATCAAGCATGAGATTATTATATTCTGTTTTTAAGGCAACAAAGATTTATAATAATTAACTTCAACCAATTCTCTCTGCACCTTTTCTTCTCTATTTTTGTCTTGACCATACTAAAATACTAAGAATAATCAAGACATCAGCACACTGAAGGGTCATATATGCAAAATTTTTAAAAACAAAAATGTAAAAGCATTATCACTTTTTTATGACAAATATAATATTTTCCATAATGTAAGCATTTGGAAAAACTAAATTGACTTTAAAATATTCACTGTCAATATTAAAGACATCAAACTAAATAAGTGAAAGATGATTTTTCCCAGAGTTCCCTAGGGCATTATGCTTTTGACTTAGGTATAAAATCTGGATACTCTATTTGAAGACTTTAATAAGATATTGTATGATAGATAAAAATTATTGATTGAATTATCTTCCTTCAGAGAAAATCCACTATAAAAAAACCTCCTTCAATTTGTATCGCTTTGACTGTTCATCAGTGCAATGATATTACTTGCTGTTACTTTGAACAATGGTATCTAAGCCTCATCATTGTTTATATTTCTAAAATAGGTCATTCAATTTAAAGAATGCATCTTAAAAATTTTGCACTGTTTGGATGTATTGATTTCTGGCTATGGAATATATTTCATGACTGTTTGGTTTTCCATTTTATTATAATATAATGTATAACAAATTCACAAATAAGATTGCATCTCTATAATGTACATGAAAATATAAGAATAAGAAATGAGAACAAAAAGATGACCTTCAAATTGAAGGTATTAATTTATTTAGAGAGACAGTAACCTGTAATATTTTATTTGATTTCTGGTTTCAAGTCCTCAAGTAAACCATTTAAATAGTATTGTTATCAAAATATTAATTATTTTATAAGATTACTTTGTCACACCTGTACAATAATTTTAAATTTACCTGAGTGATATTTTCAACTAAGTCTATGCTCTTAACCTCTTTCAAGAACTGAGAAAAACAAGAACCAGTTGGCTCTTCCAGTAAACAATCTGCCAAAGGCAGAAGAGCAATAATATATTACACTTGCTCCTGCATCCTTAACATCAGAAGCTTTTATTTCACTCTATTGCAATCTTGTGAAAGCAATCCAACAAATGAGTTAAAGAAACAGTATTTTTTATTGATTTAATTTGTGTGTATGTGTGGCGGAGTGTAAGTCCAGATACTTTTCCAGTGTTCAGGAGAGTGTCCCATGGTATAGCCTGTGGTTCAGGCAGTTTTGAATTGACTGACACAGGTGCTGGAAACCAAACTCAGGTCCTCAGGTAGAGGAGCAAGTCCATTAACCGCTAATCA